ACACAAAGTACTGCCTCATTGTCCCTTAAAGATTTTTTTTTCTACAGTAGCAGTGATAAAACTAAGGATGCCTCCAGATACCCTGGTAAAGTCATCTTCAACTGAAACACATTAAAGTATATTAAAGTGGCACTGGATAGTCAAGGCTAGTTATGTAATGTGTCTGCCCATGGAAAAGACATGTTGTACCAAAAAAAAGTAAGGTCCAGGGTAAAACCTAAAAATAGTCAAAGATATACTAATAAGTAGCCTTACTCTGATGATATGCAGGCTAAGAATATGTTAATCACATTTCTCGGGACTTCTGCACTGGCCTTCAGTTTTCCTAAAGCCTCATTAGATACCGATGCTAGTCTTTGTTCTAAGCAATGCTAATGAAAGTACACATTTAAATTATTTAACAGTGTTTCCAAAATTCCTTTGCTAAAAGGTTGTGCTCAATATACATTAAGTAAATGAGATGGCAACACTAAATTTACTAATGTACCCCATTCCTTTGCTAATACAACACCATTTCTAATTTGCTCATTCCAATGGCAATCCACTGAAGTTCAAAATTAAAGAAATATTTTCATTATTATTACATTTAACACTATGAAATGATATAATTTGATTTTAATGATCAAATTTTAATGTTTCTTTAAAAAAGAAATCCTGGAAAAAGTGGTCTCCTGCTGACATAATAGGAACATTATTTTGCTATTATCATATCTGCATAAGCAGAAGATGATACTTTCCATTTTCCATAACAGAAAAACTAGACTAAAAAAAATGTTCTTCCAAGACACTCAGGATTTAGTTTTAGATAGTAACAACTTGTAATATCTCGAAAGACTCTCTGCCAGAGATAATGATATAAATCAATTTTAGAAAGGCACAAAGTAATGTATATCTTGTACAGGTTACTTTGTTATCAAAAAGGCAATGGCCATTTTTATTTATGTACTACTAAAATACTTTTTTTTTAATATATGGGAAAAAGAACATTTTACACCGCAGAGAGTTTGGTTCTAAGGAATCTGAGATACTTACAATAAAAATTTCTAGGTGAAATCATATACATAGGGAACACAAATATATTCCAATCTCATTACATTTTCTGGGATAAAAAGGTATTCTAGAGTGGGTTCTGGAAAATCAGTCCAAATGATATGAAATGAATATGCATGTCCATAAAAAGTTCTGGTTATTTAAGTTAACAACACCCTTCTGAGGTGATATGGTCTTCCTCTTTCAGTTTTAACTTGGTATACCATACTTACTAATATTTCTTGCTGTTAGGGAATCAAAATGTGATGGTTGGAACAAAGATAAAAGAAAAAAAACACTGCTTGCTCAAACAACGGATACTCAAATAAGAGGCCTTAAAAGCATTCTTCTCTTTTATGGCAAATGCCACCTATTTTCCCTTGAATTTTTTTAAAGGCTAATAAACTGCATGGATACAAAGTTAAGTCTGAAACCATTCATTTCAAGAGTATAACTTTCCACAAGGCAGAGCTTACTCTGGGAAAAGTAGACTCTAAAAACAACTGAAGAGCGATGCAGGGATTAGCCAAGCAGAAAATACAATCTGTGTCACCATCCTCACGAAGTTAAAATGAAGTGAATTAAAACCAAACTAATTGGCTTGTAAGTGTCATTTTGTTACAGATTTTGAGGTTACAGATATTTCTCGCAAGCCACAGTGTTCTTCAAATTTGACTCTCGTCATTCGTTGTCTTTCATTCTAAAGTTACCCTGGTAAACAAGTGAGGGCATTTCCACATCATACTGCATATCCCAAATGGAAACAATTTACAACAGTAACATGCAAAAGATATCTAGAACCAGCACAATTTTTATCCCCGATTTTTTTTATTCCTTTAAAAAGACTATCTTCACTTTGTTATTCACATGAAAAAGCTGACAAAGCATTCTCTTAATGCAGACAGTGCTGTGTGGATTGGCAAACAAACTAATTTCTTGAAACTCAGGGAAGCAAACAATAATTGTGGGTATATAAAACCCACAATGCAAGTAGTAAGCATGTCTTATAGGGAAATCATGACAGAAAATGAATCGCCTGATTCACAATAGGATATATTTTGAAGGAGATAAACCTTTTATATCTATGAGCATAAAGACACATAAATTATTAAAAAATTTTACCCTAGTAGTACTTATTTTTGCATATGTTAACATTTAAACACAGCAGAAACAGCTCCTGAAATTGCTTATGCTAATGCTTACTGCTACTCATTTTAAAAGGCAATTCCTCTTAAAATCAAACCTCAGGCCTCAAAACACCAGTTAAAGCCAAACAAAGCATACCAAAGTCAATATATGCAAGACATGAAAACCTCCAAATTATATTTCAATGGCTTTTTAATTTATAAATCAGCCCAATCAGCAAAGCATACGTTTAAAATTCTAAAAACATTTTTTGGCAGGTATTTCTTAAGCCAAATATAACTTCAAGCCCCCCAAAATAAAAATCTTCCCAAACATAAAGCAAAATGTTTTACTAACCTCCTAAAAGGCATATTAGATATGAAATGAAAATCGCTGTGGGATAATAGCTGACATCATCATGCATAAGCTAAAGAACGAATATCTGGTTAAATAAAAATATGAACATCTCAAAGGTAATTACCATACAGGGCATGAAAGAAGTCAATGAATCTCCCATGTTAGATACATTGAAGAGAGTGTTCTAAGTTTTAAACTCTTAGATATGCTATTATTTTGTGACTAATGAATCAGTGAATAAAAATCCTTATGATTTAGTTTAATATTTTTTTCTTTCAATTATCATTATCATCTCCAGAAAAATTCTGAACAATTTCTAGACGCATATTTGGGTATTTCCTTAACACAATGGCAGGAACTGACATATACCTAAAAATATAACATAAGATTTATGTTGAATCCTAGTCCTACTGAGAGCCATAAATAAACCGTAATAAACCATTTTAGGAGACAGAATGCTCTCTGAATTGGAAGGGAGCCCATGAACAGAAAGGGTTTTCAGATCGAAGACTTTATTGGCAAAATGAAACCATAATCAGTGGTTTGCTCTCTATTAATCAGCATGTATTTCATTTTATATTTGGTTGATTTTGAATTGTTTGAGATATTACAATGGTCTACAGGATGTACATTTCAACATATACTTTCCATTTAAGAAAATGTATGGAATTGGGCATATCAGGCTATTTTATACTATAAAATACATCATTCATGTAACTGCCCTTTCCTGACTACAGGCTTATCAATCTATTTTCTGATTATGATGTGGATACCTATTTGGTGTCCCTATTTCACTGATTCAAAGGAAAACTTAAGAACAAAAGCCATTTTAGCCATTTTATCACTTAACAAGAAAAAGATCTATTTTAAACCTACTCTTACTATTTTATGAAGGATAGGACACACACAAGAATAATTAGAGCATATATCCCAGATATTGGGAACTGTTTACCATGTATGGGTTTAATGAAAAACAAAACACTATTAACAGGCTTATCCTTCAAATCCATACACTGTATCTCTTATCCTTAAGGGTTAGAGTTCATATTTCCATTACATCTGCCTTTCTCTACCTCAATGGAGTATGAAAAAACATGTAAATCAGTATGGGAGTCAAAAATGAGGTAACCCTCCCCCATCCTGCAAAACAAGGAAATATGACTGATACAATTACTTCCTTAGAGCTAAACCAGGGCAGGAGGGATGCTAATCATCTATTGAAGCAACACAAAGAGTTTACAGGAGTCAGTGCTAAATTATGCATTATTTAAAGCAGAAGAAACATTTCTAATGAACTTAATCTGATTTCAACCTCACAAACACATTTGTGCTATTATAATTTTCCTTCCCAAGTATATGTGCCCACCAAGAGCAATATATCGGTCAATTACATGTGAGTATTCTGGTTCTTGTCATAGCTAAATATCTCATTTAAAATGACTGAATTTTCATTTTGTTTGATATATCGTCTTTTGAGCTTAAAATTATGCACCCCCCCACTGCCACCATATGGATCTGCTGTCAATAAGATGAGGTAATCAGGTCTGCAACACAGAGGATTAGATTCTAGTGGATGATAAATTCACCACTGAAAGAATATCCTCGGAGTTATTTCTGAGCTTTTCCTGATGAGACCCTATTACCACCACTTGATCTCCTTAGTTGGAACTGATTCAATATTCCAAAGACCATTTAATTATATAACCCTACCCAAATATCAGCTCCACAGACACTGCTTCTCCAAATTGTGGTTTTAGAATATGGGAAAGCCTCAAGAGAGAAGAGAGTCTGCAATTTCAAACAAGTTGGCAAACCAAAAAAGTGCCTCATAGGTTAGAAGAAAAGCAGAGGTCAAGAATCACTATCCCTCTAATCCATGTGTCTGGAAAGTATGACTATGTAGCACCAGAGATAATGATGAAATTTACTTAAGTGTAATATAATAAAAATATAAATACAGTACTGTCAACGGAAGAAGCAGAAAATGAATAACAGTCCAATGGAGGACTTCCCCCAGAGTGACAATTTATAACAGAAGCAGTGCCAGGAATAGATTTCCTGATTTAAAGAGTAAACCATGTTGCCTTAAGAGTATATGAATGAAATTGGCAAGAGTAGCTAATTAATTATAGCTGATTAGTCTATCAAATCTCTTGGTAGAATAAGCAAAACATGAACTTTTTGTAACTATTTGGAGTCAATGTACTTCAAATGTAGTATGCTTCATCCATGAGGCATATACATTCTAAAGGCTTGGAATTTTTTCTCAAGTTTTACACTTTACTTTTAGATAATGGTACTTTGAGAGCTAAAATCATATAAGACAATTCATAATACGTTGCAAGAAGAACAATTTAAATACACTCAGGATATAGAAAAAACATATAATGCATAATTTCTCTTTTGTACTTAGTTTGTGGAAATGTTAAATCTGAGACAATAAATATTAAATTATACTAAAAACTGTGGTAGTCCAGAAATGTACCAACCTTCAGGATCAAGCAGTTTCTCTATGCCTAATTGATATTTGGCAATGTTGAATGCATGTTCCAGTCGCTGTGTGGCTGACTGCTGGCAAACCACACTATTCCAATCAAACAGGTCTGGCCTGAAATATACACACATAAAGACCAAATATAAATCAACTTACAATGTTTCACGAGATTCACTTCATTTCTGATTTTTAATTGACAACCCATGCCCATCATCCTCAAGAATTGAGTGCTACTCTTCATAACCCCTCAATAAGGCTTTTCATTTAACAAGTCACAATTTTACTTGAAAATCCTGAAGAAAACAAAGGAGAATTTATTCTCCCTTGCCAAGTAACAAAAATATATTGATGTCATCCGGTGTCAGAAATTTGAATGCCAACCATTAGCTGGTAACTTCCAATTTCATAAGCCTAGTGCAGACCTCTTCCCTAAACTCCAGAATTTAGATTTATCTGCTTATTCAGTATCTCCACTTAGAGTCATCACAAGACTCAGGTGTCCAAAACCGAGCTTCTGGTACTCATCTCCATCACACTCCCCCCAACCCACCTACTTCTCTTATAGCTCTCCTTTCCTCAATAATCAAGGACAAGTTCAAACTTGCAGTGGCTCAAACAGAAATCTTGGAGTCTAATTTGATGACTCTCACTCTCATACAACGCTTAGTTGGAAATATATACAGAATTTGACCACTTCTCATTACCCTTGCAGCCATCACCTCCACCCAAACCACCATTTTACCTTGTGTGGATTATTTATTGCATTAACTTTCTAACCGCTCCCCTACTCCCACTCTTGCCCTTGTTAATCTATTCTCGGCAAAGCTGCCAGAGTGATCTGTTAAAATGTTTCATCATAAACTTCTTCTCAAATCCCTGCTACCGGGGAGTAAAATTCATTGATTTAACTGTAACCTACAAGGCCCTACGTGGTCTGGCTCCCCGTTAACCATCTGATTTGATTCTTTGCCTCTCTCCTCCTATTCCTCAAACAGGCTAGGTAGCTTCTGTATTTGCATGTGCTGCTCTCTGACTGGAATTCTCTTCCCCCAGACGTGGACATGGCTCACTCCTCCACATCCTTTGTGTCTTTCCTCAAAAGTTGCATTATTGGTGAGTCCTTCCTTGCCCTCTCCCCATCTAAAATTGCACACTCCCAAATCAAACTTAAACATACTCATTTCTTATCCCTTTCTCATCACCACTTACTATTATTTAATATTTTACATATTTAATTAATCTTGTCTATTTATCTGTTTCCCCCACTAGAATGCAGAATATACAATTTTTTTTCACCAGTTTTGTTCACTTTTAGAAACCCAGCCTGACACATAGGAGATGGTCCATAAATATTTGTTGACTAAATATGTGTTGAATCGATAAATTTTGTTGACATGCAATCAGAGACTCGATGAGAACATACTATATGAATATCATTTTACTTGATAATAGAGAAAACATGAAGAAGCATAAGAGGGAGTTCTTATCCTATATGGACTTAAAATTTAATAAGGAAAAAATGCACACATCATAAGTTAAAATAAATTCTAAATGTAAAAAAATACAGATAATAAGATAGAAGGTTTTCTAAAATCTGAAGAGGTCAAGAAACATTTTTTTGAGGCTTAAGGTGGTTTGGGTTTAGATTCAAGAAGTTTTTGAGAAGGTAATTCTGAGTTGTGTGGATATTGAAAAATCACCAAAGTTCTTATGGAAGAAAAAAAGCAGAATGTGCTCAGTCAGTCAGACCTCACAGGCCTGGCTCCATTGAGAGATTTTCAGTATCAGGAAGGGCCGGGAGATAGCGTTCCTAGGAAGGGGAACTGGGATGAGTTTGTGAAAGGCTTTGCCTGTTTAAGGAATTACAATTTACCCCAACAAGACTGGAAGCCATTAGTCCAGTGGTTCTTTGCCTTTTGCCTTTTCTGGAACACAGATACCTTTGAGAATCTGATGAGTACTATAAAACTTTTATCCATACACAAACCTGTCCATATCTTTACACATAACTTCGGTAGAATTTTAGGACAATTGGGTCTGTCAATGGACACCTGTTTAAGAACTCATGCTCTTCAAGCAAGGAAATTATAAGGATGGGCTTAACTGTTGTTTTCAAAAACCACAACTGAAAATAAAGGTACAACTTGCTCATTTGACTCTCATTTCCTTTTCTTTACTTGATGCTACCCTGATTAATTTACCAGAATTTTGTCTACTTCTTAGGAAGTCTAATGTGCCCTCTATACTCCAAGTTACCCAAAAGAGCTAACAATATTTTAGAACCTAAAATATGTACAAGTTGGGAGCTGACTCTAGTACTGGAAAGACTATAAGAAATACAAATTAAATTCTAAACTATTTGGGGAAGTTTTAACTTCACTACGCGACCTCTGCCCTACCTTCTTTTCTACATCCCTCAGCAAGGGAAGCAGGAAAGAATATAGGTGGGAGAGTGTGGGAAACTAGCTTTCTCACCCGCAGTACAATCAACAGGGTTAAATGAGGAGGATGAAAAAGAATAGAGTTGCTTCCTCATTCTAACCCTTTTCCCTTCATCCCCTTCTCCTCTTAGCCACGAGCCAATCACCTGGGTGAGGAGCTAAGTCATGTTATCATTTGAGCTTCAGTGTTTTCATCTAAAAAAGAAGGAAATGTACTAAATGGCCTCTGAGGTTTCCTCTAGCATTAAAATTGTTTTAAGTCATTAAAATTCATCATTAATTAACATTTTAAACAACTATGATTTCCAAATGCATAAAGAATTTTAAGATTAACCAACTGCAGAAGAAAGCTACATACCTTCCCATGCTAACCCAAACCTGAACCCATAAATAGGGAACATGCAACCAAAGTTCACCAGTCTTTCGAGGAAACAGACAAACTGAATAAGACAGCATAGCCCTAGTGGATAAGCAGAGTCCTCTATAAATTCAAATCCTGGCTCTACCACATATTAGCCGAATGGTCTTAGGTAAATAATGCACCCTTTCTGTGCCTCAGTTTCCCAATATGTGCAATGGGACTAATTATAGTGTCTATGTCATGAGAAACAGGTGGGCTATTTTAATTCGAAAAGTGGCTACAAAATAACATTAACTTAATAAACATCAACTTTCATTACTTTGTTCTAAGGTTAATTATATTTATGAAATAACTAATGCATTTTTAATGTATAGACTCATGTCAAAAACACCTATAACCTACATATATAAATGTTCCAGACACTGTTGGTGCAAGAATAATACTATAAGACAGGAGGGTGGTGGGTGGCATGGGTGAAGGGGAATGAGAGATAGAGGCTTCCAGTCATGTAATGAATAAGTCATGGGAATAAAAGGCACAGCGGAGGGAATGTAGTCAATGATGCTGTAATAGCATTGCATGGTGACAGATGGTAGCGACACTCGTGGTGGGCATAGCATCATGTCTAGAGCTGTGGAACCGCTATGTTGTACACCTGAAACTAATATAACATTGTGTGTCAACTATATTCAAAAGAAATTTTTCTAAGAATATTATTATTATTATTTTTAAAGATTTTTATTTATTTTTCAACAGAGAGAGAGAGAGACAGCGAGGGAGGGAACACAAGCAGGGGGAGTGGGAGGGGGAGAAGCAGGCTTCCCGCTGAGCAGGGAGCCCGATGCAGGACTCAATCCCAGGACCCTGGGATCATGACCTGAGCCGAAGGCAGACGCTTAACGACTGAGCCACCCAGGCGCCCTTTTCTAAGAATATTATAATAACAAAATGAAAGGTGGGGAGGAGAGAAGAGGAGGAAGTACAAGTGTGGTCATTTTGTCATCTGTTATATCAGGTAGTCAACAGATCTTGTCTAAACCTGATGAAACAAGGTACGGCAAGACCACTTAAAGTAAAGCAGGCAACAATTTTAAAAATGAAATGATTAGGGGGCGCCTGGGTGGCTCAGTGGGTTAAGCGTCTGCCTTCGGCTCAGGTCATGATCCCAGGGTCCTGGGATCGAGCCCCATGTCGGGCTCTCTGCTCAGCCGGGAGTCTGTTTCTCCCTCTGTGCATGTTCTCTCTCTCAAATGAATAAATTCTTTAAAAAAAATTTAAAAAGAATGAAATTATCTTATTATAGTAATCAAATTAGGAAACAGATGGGGATAAGAGATAGTATTTGTGGGCTTCATATCAAGGACTAAATCCATCTAGTGTCAGACACCAGTTATTCAGGAAATAAAAATACATAATTATGAAAACCATGAGAAAGAATAAAAGAAGTTGCTGACAGTAACCACTTATAGGAAGTGGATGGCGATGGGGTGGGCTTGGGGTCATGAAGACACATTCTATTTTGTTTTTTTTTTTTCCTTTGCACCTCCCCCACTGTCTCACTTTTTTTAACCACATGTTATGTTATCTCTATGGTAATAAGTTAAAATGAAGAATTAGGAAGAAAATTTAATTATAACATTATACTTATTGCAACTTATCATATATTTTGAGCTATTTCTAGCCAATTATCATTTAGTTTTCCCAAAAAAGTAGAATCTGGCTTCTTTTTTAAAAAAAAGATTATTTATTTATTTATTTGACAGAGAGAGACACAGTGAGAGCAGGAACACAAGCAGGGGGAGTGGGAGAGGGAGAAAGCAGGCTTCCCGCAGAGCAGGGAGCCCAATGTGGCTCAATCGCAGGCCCCTGGGATCATGACCTGAGCCGAAGGCAGACGCTTAACGACTGAGCCACCCAGGCGCCCCAGAATCTGGCTTCCTTTTAAGTGCACTGTAGTCTACATTGTGTTTTAATACAATACTTCTAATTTCCTACATCGTAAGATAAAATTTAGCCTTAAACAGACATAAAGCCAGCAATATCCTAATCTTTGGCAAGACTCGTTGTCAATCCCTATGCTCTATATTAAGTACATGCCTTTGTTCTATAGAGCTTAGTCACTCAATTATTGAAATCAGAACACCTCATGACATTCCTAACTCTACCAGTGATAATCACCTTGGAACAGAAAGTTCAGAGCATTTTTTTTCTTTAGATAAACAATATGAACATCTGTCAAAGAGAAAAAGAAGAGGGAGATGATTCATGAATGAGCATTATCAACTGCGAGAAACCTCTTGAAAAGTAACTATGATATGTATGAAAAGGTAGTTACTGATGATTCATTCAATATGACAGGAGAGAAGATATAAACGATATTCTGAGAGAGAAAGAGTGGGTCAGGGACAGATGCAGCAGGGCAATCTGGAAATGTTTACTGTATTACAAGTATATTCAGAAATCACGAAATACAATATTAACAAACGTAGTGTGTGAACATGCTGGCAGGACTGAAGCCTTCCACTTGAAAAGAAAATGCTGAAGAGCCAACAAGGACCGCATAACCTGATCCTCGATATTTCTGTTCATCTGCAAACGTGTACAGGAACAGCAAGATCGATATGTTCAGGCCCTTACTGTGAAGCATGTGGCTGCATAAATCAGCACTGACTTACAATGCAGAATGAATGCCTCTATTCCTTCTCATCTGGCTGTATTGAAGCTGTGCCGTAATTTTCTTCGTGTCATACTTAGGAAAAACAACGTGTTAACACTGCTTAACATGCCAAATGAGTGTGAGCTTGCCTCTTTTTGAAAATCGGGTTGCTGAGTCATTCACCTGGAAACTCAGTCTGGTTGGGGTTAATTAAATCCAGCTAGAGCAAGACACCTGACAAAGCTGCTTATTGAGAGAGCATTTGTTCTTGGATGGAGCTTTAGCATAAAGAAAGTTTATATTCTGGACTTTTCTAGAAACAAGACCAACATAGGGAAATGGGAGACCCGTCAAGAAAAGAAAGATCAAAGTGAGCAAAGATAAGCTGCATTGAAAATCAGTGCGGATGCGGTCCAGTGGCATTTCAAACACAGTTAATAAGGCAATGTCTTTGACCCTGGGGATTGGGCTGGATAAAAGAGATGGGTAACGGGAAAACCAAAGCAGATATCCCTTAGAGTGAATGTAATGTATATAGAATATATATTTATATATTACATATAATATAAATGAATGCATTATATGTACGTATTTCCCATGCTGTTTTGCTTTTTCTTGAACTGTTAGTAATTCATTTATTAAGCTTCTTTATACAAGAAAAAAGCAAACAACTATTTTGTTATCTTAGAAAATACAATAGTGTATGGAATACAGTTAAGAACATTTGGTTCACTGTATCACAATGAGTTCTTTTTATGAAGAGCCACAGAACTCTCTTTCAGTGCTTTAACAGCAATTGCTCTGCTATTCCAGAGCAATTGTTTCTTTTGCTATTCTAAGCACTGAGTCATAGAATTAATTGTGGTCTGCTCTTTGCCTTGGTTGCTAAGATGCTCCCAGCCTCTTTTAATCCTGAAATAAAAAAAAAAAACAAACACAAGGCCTTAGGTATTTGCTACCTAAGCATGTATCTGACAAGAGAAATGTTTCTTTTTCACATTATTAATCGGATGATAGTAATTAATTTTGCTACAACCACTCACATGAGATTTGGAACCATTTTAGCTCTATTGTTTAGGCCCATGCTAACACATTATTTAGAAAGACCAACTCCATTTTTAGCCAAGTTAGAATATAACCTTGATTTTCTGGCAGAGTCCCAATTTCAAACATGCTGGTCCCCTCCCCCTCCCACCATAACCACATTCATGCTCCAGTATTTTAATATTTCAACAACGAAATGATATATCACATAAAAAATAGGATATTCTTATTCAGTGCATTCCAATGGATAGATCAATATGGTTAAATACACAACATATCACATAGTAGGAAATGAGCTGGAACCACACTCGAGAAAAAGATAATTAGTCTCTAAATCAATACTTACAAAAATCAGTCAATATCTCAGTAGTCTCCTTACCTATGACTGTGGATGAGAGCGTTCAAAGCCAGCCCATCAGACCAGCTGGTGGTGAAGTTAATGACATTAACCTGTGGATAATTACGAGTTGATTGTCGGACCCAGCTCAGGAGAATCTTTTCACTGTTGGTTTGTTGCAATCCAGCCATGATATTTTTCATTACATTTTTGACCTACGTGTGGAAAGAAAGTTTCATAAGAAAATGCATTCCCTGAACAAGAACCACACAAACTCAAATTTAAATATCCTAACCTTCAGTAAAAAGTAATAGAAATTTTAGAGTCAATTAGTAATGAGAAATAATAGACTCTACCAGGACGGAGTCCATTCTAATTAGTTAGGAATCTATTTTGATTGGTTGGTGTCACGTTACACTATTCATTGTACACGTTTAATATCAACTCCTGGATTCTGCCACGTTAAACTATTAATTTTGTGCTCCTAACTTTCAATGGATATACTAGAGAAGAGTGTACAAAAACATCGGACTTGTTATTGACCAAGGACTTAATTTTAGTGTTTTTAGGACAGAAAGAATGGCAGTGGCTAAGAGAATGAGCTTACTTTATTTAAACCTAGGTTCAAATTTTGCCTTTGCTATTAACAAACTGTGTTACTACAATATTAACAAACGTAATTTAATCTTTTTTAGGCCTCTGTTTCTTATACATACAAGGTTGCTTCAAGAATCAAAGGACAACTATAGTAAAATAAAATCCCTAGGTTTATACTATAACTTAAAATAATGCAAATTATATTTACTGACCAAAATGAAAAAAAAAATAGAGCAGAAAAATGATTTTGCCTATTTAAAATAAAGAACAAAAAAATCGACAAAACAAAAAGTATTTATCCCTAAAAGCTGTGACTGTATTGCCTTGAGTTGTATGTTCATTTGTTTTTGTTCTGCAGTCAGTCTGGTTTAATGTGTTATAGCTTTTTTTCAGGAAAGAGCTTCACATGCAAGAGAAGAACAAAGGTTACAAATGCCCAAAACATGGGTCCAGAACTCTGGCTCCTGTATGAAGCCTCCTGAATCCCCCTGGGTCACAGGAAATGACATTTAAGAAGCTGCTTTTGTATATAAAAAAAAAAAGTTACAAAATCCCATTGACGGTACATACACAGCGTACGTCCTTAGATGAACACAGCAGGCACATCTTACCTCTCCAGAGGTGGTGAAAGACCTGTCCTGGTGTCTAGAAGCATAGCGCTGGTCGCCCTGGGGAAAAGAGTGGCTGGGCCTGCCCAGTGACCCAGGATGCTGTCACTGTTATTTCATGGTGTTCTTGATATTTTGGACCTGATAAACTACTCTATGAGCTTTTCATTGAAACAGCCTTAGACTCAGAAGAGTCATGTCACCTGAAGAAGGCGTGGTCTCCAAAAATGTGAGGTATCAGTTACTGTCACGGAGACCCACTCTCTCCTAGATGACAGGGCAAAGGTCAGTATGAAGAATGAAGAGGGACCTGGTACTCCCTGAACAAAAGAATCTCGGAAGGATCATTCTCGACAAAGTGCCTGGTATGAGCAGAAGCACCAAATGCAGACAAAACCGCCAGTGCCTGGAGGGCTGTCTTACTGGTCCTCGCACCCCCACCCTCCCTCCTCCTGCAGCGCGAAATGCTTCCTGTGACGGGATAACAGGCTCTATCTGCATTGTCCCCTTGTGCTTGTTTTCGGCAGAGAGGTTAAGGGCTTAGAGTTGTGCAGCAGACATAGGGAGAAAGGGAGGAACATTCAGGATGCCCTCACACGCACAGTGCTTAGGCGGTGCTAGGCCAAGTGGTGCCGTTTTGTGCAGTCACAGCGGGGCTGTGGGAGGGCCGCTCTGTCTGCAGCTCCTCGAGAAGTCCCAGCCCCTGTCCCAGCACACACTGTCCCCTGGCCACACTCCCCCCACAGGGGCAGGACTGACGGCCGTGTGTGGCTCAGGTTGCCTGGGCACTCGCGGGACTTCAGAGTCCGGAGTCGGCACTTCGGTCTTTCTGGCTGTCGCCTGCAGTGCCTCCTCGTCTGAGGACTCTGGCCCCGTGGTTAAAGATCACGTAGAAGCCCCTTGCAGGCAGGATGGTGGCAAAGAAGCCAGGGGCCCCGGATGCACTGAAAGCCCCGTGCGAGGATTTGGGGACAGCTGCAAGGGAGATGGCGAGATAGACGAGGACCGCCATGGCACTGCATAGGAAGTCCATCATGGGCCAGCGCAAGCCCTACCACTGTCAGCAGCAAAGGTGACCCAGGACCCTCCCGACGCCGCCAGCAGGAGGCGGTCCTTGAGCGAGCAGAGGACTGCACGCCGGCGGGAGGGCGGAGCCTGGATGGCCACCAGGCTCTGGTCTGGTTTCGGGTTGGGGTCTGGGTCAGGTTCTGCGGGCCATGAAGCTCCGCCTCCCTCCCTCTCTTCCCGGAAGCCGAAAGAGAAGTGGAAACCCAGACCATGGGGAAGGAGAAAAAGGCCAGACTCTTGGTTTTATTTTAATTAGTTTCTGTATATTGGATTCTCTCCTAGGCTTTGTGCAAATGCTGTATTTCCAAGTTTCATTCTTCTAACTAACCTGATGCAGAAATCCATTCTAAACATTTCTCTAGGTTTCGAGAATGCAGTGACACCACATTATAGAACAAACTACATATTCTAGTAAAAGGGTAATTACTAGGCTACCTTTTTGTTGTTGTTGTTCATTTTATTTTGTTTTTTTTTTGTAGTGTTCCATGATTCATTGTTTGTGTATAACACCCAGTGCTCCATTCAATACGTGCCCTCTTTAATACCCATCACCAGGCCAAGCCATCCCCCCACCCCTCTCCCTTCTAGAACCCTCAGTTTGTTTCTCAGAGTCCATAGTCTCTCATGGTTAGTCTCCCCCTCCGATTTCCCCCCCTTCATTTATCCCTTCCTACTATCTTCTTTTTTTTTTTTAACATATAATGTATTATTTGTTTCAGAGGTACAGGTCTGTGATTCAACATGGCTACTTTTTAAATATAAGTCAGGCCCTTTATCATATACCTGAAGGAAATATGTAAGTAAATGTGATGAGTTTTTACCACCAAGGGCTTTCTTTTTAGAAAGTGTGAGGTCCATATACTACCAACATTTGATCAGATGATGAATATTTATCGTGTATTCTAAATATGACATTTTATTTTGCTTCTTCATCCATGCAGAAGTTAACAAAGGCCTCAGAGGAAAATACATATTTTAACATCTCCAATGTTAGTCATCTTTTTATGAAAGAGTCAATGCAAATTTTAGGAGAGGCTGTTAAATCTAACTAAAAAATACTTGAAAAGGATTTGAGATAATGCTTTGTAAATGTGGTAATGATTTGAAGATGTGACACCTTTGCATATGGTTATCACCATCCCTTGATAGCTAAATCTATTATTTAGAGGCAGATTATCCAGTTTTCTTAATTCCTTCCTGACCTGCTTATTTAGTTAGTTACTCAGGGAATAAATAGGTCAAATAGTTATATAAGATATATCATTTTTCTCATCATATTCTAAAGTTATAACGTGCACAGTCTCCAAGCACAGTGATTGCAAGACATGGACTTTTGTGCCCTGTGCTGAACCAGGACTGGACTCAGCACCTACTGGCTCAGTGGTGGTGATTTGCACTGATCGGGCAACCCTCCCATGATGAATGGGTTTCATTCGTGAAATGCTTGGCCAGACTGCCCTCTATGCATGTAATGTTAAAGGACAACACGGTATTCAATCCAAAACTCCTTTAGCATCATTATGTCATTAATTCAGCTTATCAGCCTCAGCCTCACTGGTATTGCTTCTTCTATTTGGGTACAAATGTTGCTACGAAAAAAATAATAAAGGGCAATGGAAGATAATCAGTTCTTTTCCTACCTAAAAGATTATTACTGAGAAATCTTTATTAAGGACCAACTTTTGGTCAGACACTGAGCTGGACCTGAGGTGAGTCTTAAAGCAGAATCATTTCCCACTCTTTGGGCTTACAGTCCCTAAGCGAGAAAATCAATTTAAACAAGTGTGTGTGTGTGTGTGTGTGTGTGTGTGTGTGTGTATGTGTACAGCTATACCTACATCTGTTTTTAAAAGGAAAAGGTTGAAATGTCTTTAAGCAGTGATTTAAAAAAATGACTAGGAGTTAACTGGGCAAAGAAGGTATGATGGACGTGGGGATACAGCACCAAGACTGTCCTTCAAGGAAGGGCTTGTTGCTGCAGCTGCCACAGCTTGCAGCTGTGAGTCCTCTCAGGGACCGCCTGAGTTGCAGAGTCATGTCACCTGAGGTCAAGCCCTTCCTAGGGCAGTCCACATCTAGTGACTGATGAAGGGAAATAGTATAAAGACTCAGCCACGTCAGCCCCAGTGAGAACAACACTGAAGGGCTATTCCAGCTCCCAGTTCCCCGTGGGGTTGCAAACAGCCATTGCTGGGGGTGGGGGAGGTACATCACAGCTCCAGTGCTTCTCATTCCAGTTACCATCTCCCTTCCTCAAGTACTCCTCCCAAAGATGTGCCTTAATGAATGTCCTGCCCACTAAATTCAACGTCTACTTCCCACAATCCATCCTGTGACAACAAGGAGCCGTGGTGGAGAGGTAGGAGTAGAGAGGCGTAGGGATAGTCTTCTACAAGGGAAGGATGGTGTGTGTGAAGAAAACTAGAGCAAGAACTGTCTTGCATACAAGGCATTAGGTAGACAGGAGTTTACGGCAAGGGCTTTCAGCAGCGCCAAAACCATCTTTCTCCTGTAATGGGCAAATAACAAATAAATAAACATTGCCATGTAAAGTAGCCCTGGATCTGAGTACTTCCTTTGACCTGGCCAGCAAAGGTGGGGACCTGACCTCGAACAGCACACCACTGTCTGCAGGATATGTCTGTATCTCCAGCTGGTTGTCAGGACTGAGCTGACCACCCTAAAAAGGAAGGTTTGCACTTAAAAAAGAGGAAGAAAAAGATGCCCAACACATGTTGTCTACTTCACAATTTTGTTCAAAGCTTCTTATTCCTCAATAGAGGCATTACTTTTTCAGGCTAACAATTTTATTTACATGGAAACTGGAAAACTAGTGACAGGAAAGATAGGGTAGGCATTCCTGAGCTTTTACAAGTTCAAAGAGAAATCCTCTGTGGCACTATTAATAATATAGTATGTGGCACTGGAACAAAAGATTCACATCTTTCCATCTCTTAATGCCATTCTCAATCTGATAGATCTGGAAAGTACATTAGGTTGGCCAGAGTGTCCTTTAATCTCTGCTGAGATTCAGTGGCTTTTTGACTACTTAATAGGAAGGCAAATATGTACTCTCAGTGAAAATACCTCTTGGGATTCATTGGGTTATGATGAGGAGTATTGAGCAGGAGGAACTTTTTATAAGTGTATTTAGTAGTTTTAAGAGAACCAAGCAGGGTGATAGAAGAGAGATGAGATAAGGAGGCAGGGGCTGCGAAGAGTCTACATCCGTGCAGTTACAAGGATGTGGGGATTCAAGGACATAGATGTAAAACAACAGACCATAAGAGACGTCTCAGACAAGGAAAGGCGGCAAAAGCATTCCTTCCGGTATTCTGGAATGTGAAAGCCCCTCTACATGCTAATTATAAAAAATGAGCAAGCTCACGAGCAAATGAAAAAAGTATCAGGGTAGTTTTGAAACTCTATATTGCAGTGAGTGGAGTTGGAGTTGGAAAGGGTTTTGAGAAAAAAGTGTGAGATCGATCATATGAGAGACGGTTTGGGTGAAAAATACAATTAAAATAGCCTTTTGGGTCTCTGCTCATGCCTAACTTCTCCTGCTGGCTTGGTCATGACCAAAATCTATGCAACTTTAGTGTCTTCTGCAAGATGGGGTCCCTCCACGAACCATTTGTTACCAGGCCATAAGATAAATAAAATGGATGGTCCATTAGAAACTTCTGTAACAATTTTACAAGGTCCTACATACGTCTGTTGAGTTTAATGATAAAATGGCTTGGGTTTTCTGTGTCTTTTTATTTCATCTTTGTAATGCTTCAGTGTTACTGTAATTTACATACAGTGAAAAAGAGGAAAAAACTGTTCTTTCCTCAAGACAGTTTGAGAAGTACTCAGCAACAGAAGTAAACCAGTTTGGTGGGGGGCCCTATGTTGCCTTGCTGGTTGTATTTGACACCATCACTATATGGAAAAGGCCCAGAATTGGGAATCTAGGGTTCATTTAAGGTTCTCAAAAAAGAGGAAAAAACTGTCCTTTCCTCAAGACAGTTTGAGAATTACTCAGCAACAGAAGTAAACCAGTTTGGTGGGGGGCCCTATGTTGCCTTGCTGGTTCTATTTGACATCATCACTATATGGAAAAGGCCCAGAATTGGGAATCTAGGGTTCATTTAAGGTTCTCATGGTCTATTTTCTGTCATCATCCACTATGCTGTCCTCTATCTCTTCCCATATTGCTGTGAAATAGGATTGAGCCTGTTCAGAGTGTTTAGAATAAAAGGATATGGGGGTCAATTGGGTCAATATGGGGGTCAATTCAACTGCTGAGTTGAAATAGGTATACCTCTGGTCTACATACTGACTCTGAGCAGGAGCAAAGTACAATTTAAGTTAAATCAACCCTACTAAATGAAGTAGAGATACTTGCTACAATAAAGATAAACCTCAAAGATTATGTTCAGTGAAAGAAACTAGATATAAAAGAACACTTATTATATCACTTCATTGATATGAAATGTCCAAAAAAGCAGACAGAAGAACAGAAAATACATAAATGGTTGCCCAGGGTGTGGGTTGGAGTGAAGAATGACCATAAATAGGCCTAAAATTAGATTAGATTGTTTTCATGGTTGTGCAACCCTGTAAATATCCCAAAATCTTTAATGGATTGGGGGAAAAACTGTTCCTTGCTCAAAATAATTTGAAAAGCCCTGAGCAAGAGAACTAAACCCGTTGATACACTTTGAATTTCATACTTAGATTGGGTAAATTTATGATATATAAGTTACATATCAAAGAAATTGTTTTATAAAAAATTAATCACTGGTAGTAAAAGAGCAGACATCCCAATTTTCCTCCAGATTCTTAACATATGAGTACCAAACTCCAAGCAATCAAAATTATTCATTTGATACACCTGTAGTGACAATGGCATAGTGCACTGAGTGCCTTGCAGATATTCTTTCCTTTAATCCTGACAAGAAATATACGTGTTAATTATTATTTTTTCTGTCTCGACAGTGAGGGAATTATGGCCCAGAAACAGATGGCATTATACCCAATGTCACTACAAGATGGTAAATGGGAGAGTTGAAATTTAAGTTCATGTTGGTCTGACTGAAAAAACGTATACTCTTTTTACTAAACCAAATGACCTTTGATCCATTTTTGCAGAGGTCCAGTAAGAATAGACATTCAGAAAACCCTATGCTGAGGTGTTCAGAAAAAAAAATATAATTCCCAAAGCAGGTTATGAAGTTAGTTTATATGTATAACATATACACAGATAATCACATCCCACCAATCTTTTATTGGCATTAATTTATATTGAGGAATACAAAGGATTCACAAAGTCTCCTTCATTTGGTAGTCATTAACAGTTTTTACAAAACTATGTAGATTTGCGTATAGGCGAGTTATAGAAGACACATATTTGTGAAAAATATTTTTCTTAATCTATTGATGAGAATATCTTTTTTGGCTCATCTCCACACGTGGAAGTAAATTTTAGAAAAATATCCCTGCAATGTTCTAGAACCTGTTTTATAATCTGCTGATCCTTCACATTTCAAATGACATCAGTTGTGCCAATTTAAAAGGCAGTGCTATGGAGATGGGCTTTGTATTGCTAGAGGTATACATGTTTGCTTTGCAGGTCAAGGGGTAAAAATGAAAGGAAGGATCAGCAACATTTTACACAAAAAGGAAACATTCATCAGGATTCTTACCTGCCAGTGGAGGATTATATTCCAAATCAAACCAAGAGTCAGTTTGTGATTTCCATCTACTATGTCACTGCTTCCGATATTCACTAAATCAACCTGTTAAAGATAAAGAGAAAACATTTAAGGAAAGAGACAAAATGTCTATTTGGAAAGAAAACAAAATGCGAAGGTAATTGCATTTAGCTATTTTCAGAGCCTAAGCAGTATTACAGCTTTTAAAAAATAATCTAAAAATGAAACAAAATGCATTTGTAAATGCACTCTCTTTAACAAACAAGTGCCCCTAAATACATTCCCAAAGAGATAGGAAATGAATGTACTTTTAGTATATAAATAGATTACTGCAGATTAAAGAGGCCAATCAGAATTTCTTCAAATAAAACGTATAACAATGATAACTCATAAAGGATGCCTAAAATTAATATGTGCTTCCTAATACAGAATTGAAACTCATTGAAAAAATATTTCATCAGTCTTTTAATCTTGCTCAAAGGAGTGCTATTATAATTAGGGGTAACTGCATTTGACTAAAATGCTCTTGCTTTAGAAACAGATATTAGAACTCTAATAAATAATGGAGCTATGGTGAGCTCTGTTTGCTCTATCTAGGACTGGGTTTGGGAATCAAAATCTGGCAGGGGTTTTTTTTTTTTTTTTAAGTCAAATCCTATCTCCTGTCCTTTATGTTTCTAATATTTTTAGGTGGAGTCAGGTTAAACATAAGCATCAGGCAAATAGGTGCATGAAAAGATGTTCAACATTATTAGCCATTAGGAAAATGCAAATTATAATCACAGTGAGCTAGCACTACACACTTACCATGATGGCTAAAATTTTAAAATAGTGACAATGTCAAATGCCAATGAGGATATGTACAAACTGGATCACTCATGCATGGCTGGGGGAAATGTAAATAGTACCGGCACTCTGGAAAACATTTTGGTCCTTTCTTGCAACACTCAGCATGGGCTTAGCATACAATCCAGCAATTGGGCTGTTGGGCATTTATCCTAAAGCAATGAAAACTTATATTTCTACAAAACCCTATGAGTACGTGTTCATATCAGCTTTACTTGTAACAGTCAAACACAGCCATCTGGGAGAACAGCATATGTGCCCTTCAGGGGTGAATGGTTAAACAAGTTGTGGTACATCCATACCATGGAATCCCACTCGATGATGAAAAGGAACAAACTACTGATACACAAAGCAACTTGGGTGAATCTCATGGGAAGAATGCTGAGTTGAAAAAACAAAGCCAACCTCAAAGGGTTAGATATAGTATGGATTAAATATAACAGTTTCGAATAGCCAAAGTTCTAGAAATGGAGAACTGGGTAGCAATTGCCAGAGGTCAGAGATCAGGGTAAATGAATGGGGTAGGTGGATGTGGTTATAAAAGGGCAGAATGAGGGGCCCCTGGGTGGCTCAGTCGGTTAAGTGTCTGCCTTCGGCTCAGGTCATGATCCTGGAGTTCTAGGATCGAGCCCTGCATCAGGCTCCCTGCTCAGCGGGGCATCTGCCTGTCTCTCTGCCCCTCACCCTGCTCAAGCTCTCTCTCTCACTCTCTCACTCTCTCTCAAATAAATTGAATCTTTAAAAATAAAAATAAAAAAATAAAAGGGCAGCTTGAGGGATCCTTGTGGTGACGGATCTGTTCTGCATCTAGTCTGTGATGGTGGATACACACATGTACACGTGTGATAAATGTACAGAATTAAAAACACCTGTGCATGCATACATGAGTGCAAGTAAAACTCAGGAAATATGAATATTATTGGTGACTTATACCAATGTTGATGTGTGTAGTGATAGCATCCTATAGTTTTATAGTATATTACCACTGGGGTAAAACTTGGCTAAAGGTACACAGGATCTCTCAGTATTGTTGCTTACAACTACATGAGAATTTACAATTATCTCAAAATAAAAAGATTAACGAAAAAATAGGCATCTGGGGATACCTGAACAGGAGAAAACATCACAATAATCCCAATAGGCACCTTCAGATTAAGGTCTATAGAGTGGGTGTGAAACTGTCAGAGCGGGAGTGAGGGTTAAGAAGTGACTCAGAGTTCTTTCCCTATTCACTATCTTTGGCTCACTGATCCTTTTGGTTGAATTTCTTTTGGTTACCTCAAGGATCCTGCCATTTTGTCTTGTCCTGAGGGCAGCAACCTGAGAGAGTTGCCCATTCCTCAGCCGCCCATGGATATCTTCTCTAAAGAGCCAACAGTCATTTTGATTAAAACTTTCATCTTCTCAGGCTCCAAATCCTTACTGGTCAACATGTCACTCCAATCTCTCTTTCCCATTTGTTTCTTCCTTAAGTAAGATGGGTTCACCATTCTCTCGCTCAATGGCAAATTATGTTCCTTATCATTCATCTTAATTTTCTAAATATTATTACAACTTAAAAATATGAAGCTTTCTGGGAAATCCAGGTGAAAACAATAAAAAAGGCTACCCTTTGGTATAACTGTTAAATCACTCCCAATTATGCCTCCTATAAACTTACTTACAGGTCTAGTGGATAATCAAATACTCAAATTTATTTTTATATCCCAACAATATAAACATTATTGGTGTGTTGGCTTAAAACAAATGAAAATACAGAAAATAATATAGAATCATTTGAACAAGGATAGAAGATCAAGATACAAGCCCATAGTTGAATTCCACATATATTTTATAGTAGAGGATATTACTGAGCTATGCAATAGATTAGATGTGAGGATTGGTACCATCAGGACTTTACAGAGAAGTCGGCCTAAAGCAGTATGCAAATAGACATTTCACTAAGGCTCAGTTGAGGAGTGGATAAATGGAAGCCCTGAAAACTGGTTAACATGAAAGACTGACTTTCTTGGGTAGAGGAAAGTCAAGGTGATACTGCCATTATAAGGTGTTACATGTCTATTTATTTCTGCAATGCAGATGCTTTTTGTTGTACACTTGAATTTTAGGAGTATCCCATGCAAGTTCTTCCTAATTGAGTTTACTGTAGCTATTTTGAATATTTCAAATTACTGAGCATTCACATAAATTTGTCCTACACAAGCAGATAATAATTTGCTATAATATTGTTGTTTTAATTGCACAAAGTAGAATACAACAAGTTTCTAGAATTCATTAGGGAAACAAAAAATAGAGATACCAGGGGAGATAAATAACTCACAAACAAGAAAGCACCATGATCTACATTTCACTTGGAGATTCCTTATGTGGTAGTAAAGGAAGGAGCTCCTCCATATGGAAAAGCTACTATAAATTTATCAGTTGATTCACTGATACATTCATTCAACAAGTACATTTTGGATACATGTCAGGCACTGAAGTACTTAGAGAATAAAAGAGAAAATGTGTTCCTACTTTCTGGAACTTAACTGTAGTGAGAATGATAATCAGACCATACGTTGTTGAAAATTCAGTTACTTTAATGGAGAAGATGTGATTATTTTAGGAGACAGACCTATACTGGGGAAATCACTGCTGGTAGTTATGTTTGGACTTGCCATAGGGATCATCCTGGGGAGACTTAGAGCAAGCAACAGGCTTGGTTCGATCCACTTTAATAAGCCTTCTCCCTGTATCAGCAGGGAGACAGTTCCACTTTTTCTTTATCCTCATAAAATCCCTCCTAAGATCCAATCTCTATTATGTCCAAGTACTGTGCTTAGCTTTGAATAAAGAAGAGCAAAATAGAACTCCTAATGTCAAAAAAGCTCATAAGCTAATAGCAGGCCACACAATAAAAACTAATTAAAATTAAGTAGGATCTAGAAATTCCACTTCTAGATATATTCCCGAAAGAACTGCAAACAGGGACTTAAACAGATATCTGTATACCAATGTTCATAGCAGTATTACTCACAGTAGCCAAAAGGTGAAAACAATCCAAATGTCCATTGACAGATGAATGGACAAGCAAAAAATGTAGTATATACATACAATGAAATATTATTCAGGCTTAAAAAGGAAGGAAATTCTGACAAATTCTACAACATAGATGAATTTTGGAAACATTATGCTAAGTAAAAATAGCCAGACACAAAATGAGAAATACTATATGATTCCGCTTATATCTAGTGCCTAGAAAAGTCAAATGTATAGAGAAATAAAGTAGAATAGAGCTTATCAGGGGCTGGAGTAAATACCATGTTTTATAAGTGGTGTTTCACTCATATATTCTCTATTTCATATGCTTAACCGACTGAGCCACCCAGGCACCCTGGTAGGTTTTTCTTTATAAAAAAAGTTTTAGGATTTACTATTTTAACCAGCAATGTATATGAGTAGGCTCTTCCCTTCCCAGCAATAGAGATTTCCGCTTTTTCATTTTGCCTGTCTGATGAATAAAAAGATTTTGCATTGTTAATTCATTTCCATGATTCTTATTTCATTTGGAATATCTTTTTGTATGACTGATGATTATAATTTCATCTGTAAATTATCTGTTAATATAGTTTTTTCATTTTTATATAAGTAGTTTTCCTTCTTAATTTTAAAGAGCTCTTTGCAACTAATAGCTAACATTTATTGAGTACTTACCACATGTAAGACATGGTTTAATCAATTTTATATAGTTTGACAATCTAATTTTTGTATTCATATTCATAAGTGAGATTGTCTTATATATTTATTATTTAACATTATGTTTATTGACTGTTGGTACTATGGTTACTCTGACATCACAAAAGGAAGTGCAGGGTTTTATCTTCTTATATGCTTTGGAATAGCTTAAAATATAGGAATTACTTATTCTTTAAGGATTAGGTTAAATTCACATGTGAGAATCCTGGTATATATTTCCATGGTAAATCTCTAATACTTACCAATGTTTTCTGAAGTAATCAGTCTAATTTTCCGCTTTTCTTATGTCAATTTTAGTAATTTACATTGTTCTAGGAGATCATCCATGTCCCAGATTTTTCAAAATTAATTTCACAGAATTGCTTATAGTATTTTCTCAGTTTCTTCTGGATCTGTGGTTACACATCCTTTCTCATTACTAATCTTGTCTATTTTTCATTCTCTTCTTATTTTCTTTTGTTAGGATTAGAAGAGGTTCATCTCTTTTGTTGATCTATTCAAAG